GGGTAATACCCAGACATTGTTGGGGACCAAGATAGATTCCTCCTCCACACGCCTTTCCTATAAAAAAATAGTTGCTGTTTTGCATATCAGCAGTACAACGATGTTGTAAAAACAAAGCCACAGCATGCATCCCTTTCCTCTCCACAGCGCGTTGAACCGAGAGCTTATTTGGTGGCCGGCAGCAGCCCGCAGGGGGCGTGCGGAGCTATCTCAGCACACAGCCCATCAGGTTCCCCGGGAAGGTGAGCCCCATGGAGGGCATCTGGGAGGGCAGGATGCCGGCTCCCTGCAGGGCACTAAGGATCAAAGCTTGAAGATGAAGAAAGATGCAGCCTGGGCTTTGAGTTACTTTGCGGCTGCAACTGGTATTGTTGGCACAGTCTGTCCCAAGTGTCATTTGCAAAATAGTTATGGTAGGGCCCGGGTCTCTAGTGACCACTACAGCCCTGGGGTCAGTGGGTTGCTCTGGCTGACCCTAATCACCTTTTGGGCATTTCTAAGGGGCCTGACGTTTGGGGCTGCACCCACTGGTGGGACCATCAGAATGGGGTTATTTGTCTCAGGCATCCATCCTGTGTGTGCTGACACTAGGGTCACCACACAATAACTACCAGGCCTCCTCAAGCCTCACAAGCACGTCTTCCTACCACTGCCAAACAGTCGGCTCCAATCTTCACCATATGCACACCTCTTAACACTAAGTATTCCTTCTTCCCTTCACTGGGGTTTGTGCTCCCTAGTGGGGACTGTAAGAAGGAACTATTGTCCCCAAACTCTCAAGGGGTCAGGCATGAGCTCAGAGAAAGGCCCATGAAGAGCATTTTGGTGACTGGGGTGAGAACTTTTCGTTTCCTACAGTGCTGGTGTATGTGTGTTGGGGGGTCCCCAGCCCACTCCCTGGGCACATGGCCACCATTCACCCTGAGAGGGTGGGGGTTCTTTGGGACTCTTCCTGACAACTGGCTGCCCCCACCATTGCATGTCGGGAGGAGGCCACCCTAAGCCTTTGGAGGAGGCACTCCTTCTCACCCCCCCCCACACCTCCTCCCAGGCAGTCAAACTGGCTCTGGGGCTGTGAGGCGGAAGGGGTTGGCCATGCCCGCAGGCCCTTTGTTCGAACTGCAGCCGCTGGGAGTAGCTGCACTGTGTGAGAAGTGGGGTGAGAGGGAAGCAGTCCGCTTGGTGTCTTCTCTTGGGCCCAGGAACCCTTCCAGTTCCCGAATCCCGGTCCTGGTTTTTCTCCTGGCCCAGGAGTCTGAGATTTGGGGAAGTGAGGTTCCCAAGGCCCAACATTGCACTCCTACTTCTTGTCTCACTTGGCCCAGGGAAGCGAGGGACAGTTGAAATGTCACCCACCGGGATAAATATTAACAAAAAGCAAATGGACTTGCGTGGAGGCCAGTTATCAATCAACCAGACGGCAAGGCCACTTATGGCAAACACAACCCAGATTGGTCCCTGTGAGACTTTCTCATGGCCACCTCCTGGGCCGAACATTACCCCCCCCCCCCCCCCCCCCGGCCGACTGACCCCCCCCCCCCCCCGCGCCCCCCCCCCCCCCCCCCCCCCCCCCCCCCCCGCCCCAGGCTCTGGCTCTCCTTCAGGTCGTTCCGGGGCAAATTCTGGACAGGAAGGGGGCGCAGTCCCGGATGCCGGAGACAGGGCAGTCTCCCAGGCACTGTTTGGAGGTACCCTTCCTTCAGGTACCCCAGGGTCAGAGGGGCCCAGCACCCACCCCTGCTTAACCCGCTGGGCCTTGCCTCCTCTGTCCGCCATGCTGTGCCCTCTGGTGGGTGCGCGTTGCAGCCTCCTCAAACGCTGACCACTCCCCTACTGTGGCCAAAGCCTTCTGAAATCTTTAATTGGAAACTAATCTCTTCAAGTCTTAATAGGTGCCCACTCAGAGGGGAGGCGCCCACCCACCCATATAGTCCAGCCCGCCCACCTCACCTCAGATGAGATGTGGCCGCAAACCTAGCTGCACTGTACTTTAATGGGGCAGCAGCAAGTATTATATTGAGGGAACACGTATTGATTTTTTAAAGGTAGTTAATTTGGTGAGAATTTCCTCCTGTCTCCCATCTTCCACCAAGCCGATGTAATTTTGTAAGGAGAAGGCGCGTCCCCAAACATGCTGCCAAGTGTGTAGGTTTTGACTCTCTGCAACAGGCTTCGTGGAACCTCGTGTACAGGGACGGGCGTGGAGAAGCCACTCTTCGCCAATGAGCGAAGGAACCGCCCGAGGGGTAAGGACAAGATTGAGGGGTCTTTAGTGTAACAGTGAGCCAAACAGCAAGGGGCACCCCTGTGCGTGGAGGCTGGTGGTGGGGAGGGGCAGGCAATGTCCCACAGCCTTGGCCAAAGTGCCCTGCAATGCGTTTGTTCAAATCTGTAATCCGGCCTACTAGGGATCATTTGGAGAGTCCAGGAAACGCATCACTCCCCACCCCCAAATGAAAATGTTAAAGGGAAGGCTCCCTGTTTTTCCGTGATTTTAAAATAGGTCGTGGTTCCTGCAGTGTAATGGGATTGCTCCCGGTTGGGCTCGCTCCGCAAGTGCCCCCATCCCAGCCTTTCCCACCCCTTCAATTAAGTTAAAGAAAGGAAAATTAAATACTCGACGCTCCATCCGGGTCCTGGTACGCAATTCCACTTGGGATTGGGCGCCAAATTTTGTCCTGCCAGAGTCTCCGATTTTCCTTTTTTTCCTTCTATTTTTTGCAAAGAAAAAGGCCACGTGCCTCAGGTGAGCCGGATTCATCTTAGGCTACTGGGTGCCAGAGTGTCCTGGGTCCGGTGACCACTGGCTGGCATGGGGCCCACGCCTCCACCGGAGGGTCTCAGCACTAGTGCTCCCGCTTCAACAGCCCTGCGGCGGCACCCATGCGTGTAGGTCAGAGCGCGCTCGCGCTGATTGGAGCGCAAGGCCGGGTTTCCAGGGCCGGGGGTCATTTCTGAACAGAACCTGTCAGCCTGATTTTCCAGGGGGTGACTGGGGCACCTTCACAAGGTGGGGGGTAACAAGCTTGGGGGGGAATCCCTTTTCATTTCCAACCCTTTCCTCCATTTCCCCCCACCCCACTGACAGGCCTATATGAGCACTGCCTGGGTACAAGGTTCTGAAGCTGACGTGGGCTTGTGAAAAGGCACTGACTACTTTGGGCGCCGCAGAGGCTGAGCAGTCAGGGAGAAGGGTATCCGTTTCTCCCACCCCTTCTAGAACCTGAGCTGCCCTCCAGTCTCAGTCAGCTTATGGGGGTGGGAGGCGACATGGTGGATGCACACAGGGCTAGGGAACGGATTCGTGGGAGCCCCAGAGGGCACCTTGTCAACTTCTCCCTTTCCCTTCCTGTCCTCCTCTCTCCACCTCTCCCGACCTCCAGGCAGAAGCTGCACTAATAGCCTGCGTGGCGATTTTGCTTGGAACCAGGGAGCACAGGGCTGGGCTGGAACACCTGGCGGGGCAGAGACTCATGAACTGGGGCACACGGAGGGAGGCCAACAGTGCCCAGACCCAAAGAGTGCTTTGGGGTTGCTTCCGGCTCCCGCCGCAGGCTCACTGGCACGCCGGCACCTGCCTCCCTCTAGCTTCTCATTGGCCCGCATGAGGTGGGGGAGGGGGCTCTGGCCTCTCGCTTTGATTTTAGACTGTGAAACGGCTCAGTGCCCCCGGCTCTGAGCGGATTGACTGTCTCTCATTCTCCAGGGACGAATTAATGGAGAACGATCAGTTAATTAACAAACCCTCATTCCGGCTTTTACCTTTCTCCTCGGCCAGGACTCAGGCCAGGGCACCAGCCTGAGACTGGGGTGGGGGGAGTAGCACGGACCCAGGAGTCAATCAAGTCGGCAGGGTCTCATCAAACCGTGTCCGCCCTCGGCTGCCCTTGGCTCTACCTCCTCTTGTGTCCTCTGCCCTCGGGGGTCGCCAAATCAGCTTGAAATCTCTGGTGTGATTCAGACTAGGCTAAGCTGTCCCCTCGGCCAGCTTCCTGGAGCCTTCCATGCACCTTGGCTTGGAGAGGCTGAGAAGGCTAGGCGCTGTCTGTGCAGCGCCATGGAGACTTTTCAGCTCAACTCAGAAACACCCGGGCCTCCGGGTTTGGGGCCGGGAGACCTCTGCTCGCAGATATGGGAGTCATGTCCACACTCCCACCCCCATGCATGGGGATACATTCGAAACATCATGCAGAGGAATAAAACGAAATGTGAAGTCGTAAATGAGTCGGCAGCAAAGGCGGTCCCTGGGCTCAGCTGTAAGCGCCCTTGCTGTTCCGCAGCCCTCACCCTTACCTCGGCACCATCTGCCTTCCTCTCCTTTCCACAGCCGGTTACCAGGGCAGAGTGCTGGCTAACTCTTAAACAGCTTCGGCGTCAAACACACACCTTCCCGCGGCTTCGGAACCTTTTACCGGAACTCTCAGAGTGTGCTCCCCATCCCTCCCACCCCTGCCTCACGCCAATACAGTGAGAACGAGGGTGGGGGTGGGGGGGGAGGGTCACCGCACCAAGTTCAGCCAAACGTGGGCGTGCGGTTCCGGCAGGGTCCAACCCAACGCCCGGGTATGTGCCAGGGGTACTAGCTGGCAGCATCTGCGCATAGTTCCACACACGCGTTGTCTCCCTCTTCCCAAACCCAGAGTGCCCAAATGAGAAGCGACGCACAGACCGTGTCCGGCCAGGTGCGGGGGTTTCTCTTCGCCTCCCGCCGTGACCGCTTCCAGCAGTCTCCGCGCACAAACGCGTCCCCGCACTAGCCCAGGCGGTACCGCTCAGCTCTCGGAGCCTACCACAGCCCAATGCACAGAGTCCTGGAGGAGGCGGTCTGCTCCCTGGAGCCGTCGTTGGCTCTTCCAGGCCCAGGGAACTACCCACCTCCCTTTGGGGAAAGGAGGATGGGATGATGCGTGCCCAGCTCTCTTTTTCCTTCCCTCCTTCGGTCTCTTTAGCTTCCCCAATTCCTTTTTCTCCCCACGCGCCCAGCTCCTTGGCCCGCTCACCTGCTAAGCGGAGCGCAGACATCCGTTGGAACTCCGGCTCCTGCAGCCACTTCCACATCCTCCGGAAGGTCTCCCGGCCGGACTTGAGTTTGCTCCAGGGTTTGGGGTTGCGCAGCAGGTCCGAGAGGGTCCCTTGGGAGCGGCAGAGCACCCTCTGCGCGAAGATGGCCTGTGGGATGCTGTAGCGCTTGAGCTCGGTGGTGATACGCTGCGCCACCTCTTTGGTATTGATCTCTTCCATCTGCCCTGAATTACTTCCATTGCTGACCTGTGCGCCGGTCACCGAAGGGTTGGGTTCCCGGGCCGTGCCCAGGAGCTGCCCGTGGCCCTGGGCGTTCAGGTGGGCGTGGGGGTGGTGCGGAGGAAGGCCGTTGATGGGCACCATGCCTGCCGAGGTGGGCGTGAGGTGCTGCTCCCCATGACGGCCGAGCATGGCCGGGTGGTGGGCTTCAAAGCCGTTCGGGGTGAGCATCTTGTCAGTGGGCATGGCGGCGCCCGGGTGGGCATAGTGAGGGAGCCCTTGCTGGGAGTTGTGGATGCCGCCGAGACCGGAGCTGGAGAGGGGCGACAGGCTCTGGCCCATGCCGGCTACGTCCTTGTGGTAGGGGGTATAGAGGTTATTCATGGAGGCCAGCCCGCGCTCGTCCCGCATGAGCGTGAAGCTACCGCTCACATTGCCCGCCAGGCGCTGGTGGTGGTGCGGGTGGTGGTGGTGATGGTGGTGGTGGTGATGGTGAGGGAACTTGTCCGAGACGGTGGAGATGGGCGGCAGCGGCTGCAGAGGGGTTAAGGTGGTGTAGGTGGTGGGCATGCTCATACCTGGGGGAGTCTCGCAGGCCATGGTCATGGTGGGGTGCAGGGGGCCGGCCAGGCTGTGCTCGGGGGCCCGGTGGTGGTGGTGGTAATCGCCGCCGCCTCCACCGCCGTCCAGCAAGGACGCCATGCCCATGGAACGCGGGTGCGCAGGGGGCAGGTGGCTGCCACGGTGCGCCACGGAGCTTCGCGCGTGGGGACTGCCACCCAAGAGGTCGGCAGGAGCGGGCACCGGCTCATGGCTCACCCCGTGCAGCTCGCCGATCGCCTCCATGGTCAGCTGCGCGTTCATCGTGATCCGGGCGAGCGGGCGGCGGACACAACATCGATGAGGCCGGGCAGAGGCGGCGAAGGGCGCACGCAGTCCGGTCTTCACATCGGCTGCCGGCGACTGTTGCCTTTCTTCCTTCCTTCCTCTCACTGTGGGGCTCTGTCTCCCTCTCTGTGTGTCTCGCCTTCCCTCTTGCCCCCACCTTCCCCTCTGCGTCCTCGGCTTTTTTTTAAATATTAATTTCCAAAAAGGATCCGTGCCGTTGGGCGAGCGCGGCGCCCCCAGCCCGCCCGCCCCTGGCCCCCTCTCGCCCCTCTCCTTCTTAGAATTCTGAAGCCCCCGGCTCCCCTGACGCAGTCCGCGCGTCTTCCGCGGCTGCTGTTTGCCCGCGCCGCTGGCCAGCTCCAGCCATGGCTTGGTTACTGTTGCAGACTCTGTGGCCGCGGTTCCGCCGCAGCCGCCGCCGCTGCCGCCGCCGCCGCCGCCGCTGCCGCGGCCCGCCCTCACGCCCGCCGGGCTCAGCGCGCAAGCGCGCGGCTCGGCCCCGCCCCCTGAGCCCCCGCGCGCGCGGCCCGTGACGTCCCCGTACAAATGATGAAGGGGGGCCCCGCGCCTTAACTGCGGCGCCGGGTGGCCCTGGAGCGGCGCGCACGTGCGAAGGCCTGGCGTGGAGCGCGACCTGGGGCAGCCAACGCAACCCCAGGAGACTTACGCCCCTCTCGGCTCCCAGGCTGGGGTGGGCCCTCACCTAGCAGCACTTGCCGGGCTCCCATCCCGGTTGGTGAGCCAAGATGGAAAGTCCTCACCTTTCTCTCCAGTTGCTGCCTCTTGGTGTAGCTTGCCCGGGGAGCCTCAGCCTGTTGTAACTCCTTCCACCCTGGCCTACCGAGCTTTATTTCCCAGAGGGCCTCTGGGAGTCCGCGCTCTCCCCATCCTCAGGTGCTCGGCAGTTTTGGAGGGAGGAGAAGCAAATATCTTAAATGCCTTGGTCAGCTTGGTGACTGTTGACCCTCTGCCCACCCTTCCTCTTCCACGGGCCGGAGAGGGGAACGCTCATGCCAAGAATTCTGGCACTGGCCATACCTCGTTGTCTCCCGCCGCCTGGGTCCTTCTTCATCTCAGCTGATAATAAGGCGGTGTGCTGCTCCGCGACTGACTGTGTGTGTGTGTGTGTGTGTGTGTGTGTGTGTGTGTGTGCGCGCGCGAGCGCGCATGTTGCGGGTGGGGAGTGCCCTGGTGGGTTCCCACGTTAACTTCTGTGTGTGGGTAGGGCTGCCGAGGCTTGGGCTCTTCCTGCGGTTCCTCTATGACCCTCCTGGTAAAGCACCCAGAGGCCGCTGCTTGCGGGAAGGACTGACGCCGGCAGAGTGGACCAGGCGCGCCGGTCTCCGCTTGGCCCGTAGGGACGCCCTCTTCCCGGCGTCCCCGCGAGAAGCCTCCAGATTTGAAAATCAATTCAGCTTCGGGCATAATTGTCCGCTTCCCACAATCACGCTCCAATCTGGAATCGAACCTGGTCCTTGGGCTTGGTGGGGACGCGTGGGGAGGCCCCCAATGTGGGACGTATACCCGGCCACCACATGCCGAGGCTTTCTTTCATTTACAAAAGAAAGAAAAAAAAATCCGTAACAAAAGGCAGAGCCGTGTCTGCTTAGGTGCTTTCATCCCTCAGAGAAAGGACAGATGTGCCCATTGTCCAGCCCTTGGCAGTTACGACCGGGTCAGCGCGGAGCCTCAGCCCCGGGCGAACAGTGGTCACAATGGGGGACAGCATCTCAGAGCCTGGGTATCTGGGTCTGGATGTGGAACAAAGTGTGTGTGGCCTTTGCTGGGCCAAACTTACACTGTATGTTCCTTTCCTGGGGCACTCACTGAATCAGAGCCCACCAACAGTGTCTCTGCTGAAAATGTTCTTAGACCCTCGGAGAGGCCAGGGCTGGGGTGGTGGGGGTATTGGTGGCTGAGTCCCCTAGGCAAACACTTGGGCCAGCCAATCCTTGGGGGAAATTTTCCACCAGCTAAGGCATGAGGAGGCTCATTTCTTTATCCAGTTTCCTGGCACAACCAGGGCAACATCATGATCCAAGTAGGTCAAAGCCAGTGGGTACAGTCCAACCTGACTTCCTTGAAAGTGGCCACGTCCTGGGATTGGTTAATCTGGTTGGCTTCATCGGCAGAGGCACTCCTATCTTGTCCAAATAATGCCCATGGAGACCCGGGGAATGGGAATCTATCTTGGTAGACTTAGTGTCTACCTGCACAGTGAATATTTAGGAATTTAAGGCCCCCAGAGAAGAAAAAATTGGGGGAGGGAAACACACTGACATAAAGGAGCTCAGAAAACAGAATTACTCTATTTTAAAATATATCTAACTATTCATACACCTAGACACAAAAGCATAGAACATATTTTCTGCCTAGTGGATCACAGTATCTTGGTGGGAAGCTGCATTTTTGGTTCCTTATTGTTTCTGTTCTCTTTTCCTACAACACAGAGCATGTAGCTCTCATATAAGACCGAACAATGGGTTTCACTAGCAGGCTACCTTTGAGCTAAACTGTTGTGAATCCCCCCCGCCCCAGTTTAATCACCTCTGAAAGGATTGATTTGCCCTTATGACAACTCTCTTCCCAAAAGACAGTTTGTTAAAAAGAAAGAAGTAAATACCACTAAATGCACAAATTGTTCATGGTTTTCTCTTTGTGTCAGTTATTAGGGACTTGATCCTGGAAACCCCTCTTCATGTATGGTTCCCGGCTGGGCCCCTGGAGCCTACCTGAAGAGGGCTGAGTTCAGGTGAGCTCAACACTGCCCCCACAAGCACCATGAAAAGCAGTCTGGTTCAGTGTTGGTCCCTAAAGGAGAAGCCAAAGGAAAGATCTATGTTTAGTTAATGTGTGTGGAGGACTTGCTTTGGTTTGCAAATCTCCCTAATCTTTCTTGGCTTTTCATGCCTTTCATTACCATTGTTTACCTGTAGTTGACGGAACTGCAGTGATTTTTAAAGAAACATTGTATTCTTATTTGACCTTTTGGAAAATTTTCCTATTACTAAGGATGTGTGATGAGTGGGAAGGATGGCCTAGTTAAAGGTGAATGTACATGTGTGTACATGTGTGAGAGGGACACTAGATGGATTGTCAACTGCTGGAGGGCTGGGATAGCTTTTCATCATTTTGTTCCTCTCTTCCTTTCCCCGTTCCAGTGCCAGCACAATGCCTGCATTATGGGGAATGAAAGAATTAGAGACCACAGAGGAGTCCCTTAAAACTGCTTGTTTGGTTAGTGTATGCAATTACAGGATGCTGTTCAATTTTTTATACCAGCCAAGAAGTTTGAGGGGAGGGCTTACTATCAGTTGGTTAGATTTTGAGTAGCTGCAGGAAAATTAAAGAAAGAAAAATAGGGTCAATCACCACCACAAAATTACACTCGTGTATATATTTAAGAAAAAAGGAAATAAGACTATGGACTGGATGTTTGTTACTGGCAATATTTTCAGTGTGGAAACAAGGATTTTAGACGGCTTATTTTGTAAATGTTGGGTGGTGGTGCCTGGGCAGGTACAATCCTTCCTGTACTGAGTTGGTCCAGCTTGCCAGGCAACTCCACCATACTTAGAAAAGCGACTGAAAATAAGGCCATTTTCCCAAATGCTGGCCACACAAGATTCTCTCAGAAACTTCCATCAGTTTCAGAGTTCCTGCCTTAGTTCTTTTTGTGAGTAATAGAGATGTAACATATCTATTTTCAGGACCAGTTTTCAGGACCATTCCAAAGAAATGTTTCTAGCCCCCCTGAGCCATCAAATGTTTACTTCCCATTTGTTGACCACACAAACAGCAAACCTGGTGTCAGGGCAGATTCCCCCATCCATGGCTCTAGGGGGAGGCTGACACCTTGGCCAGTCTCAGAATGGAACTCACCAGAATTTCTGATGCCTGTAGCAAGTCTAGAATTAAACTCGTGGTGAGGAACCATTTCTTTGGTGTCTGGCAATGGTATGGAACTTGGTAACTGTGCCATGAAGGATTTGATCATGGGTGCTTCCTCCCGGCCTCTCCTGTCCTTCTTCACACCTCTGCAGAAATTTTATTCAGGAAATTGCTTAGAATAGAACACCAAAAAAATTCAAAGTGACCTGGTGATTCACTATTGAAAATAATTTAAAAAAAAAATTAGTCAGTGGCTTTTCCTACTCTCTGGGGGCCAAGGAAGTGGTAACCAATTATTCTACCCCTCTTCGGTAACCTTTGATCTTCTATTTAGCATATAGTTTGTATTCATCTGTTAACTTTTTTCCCCTTTTTAAGGGAAAAAAGGAAGCTTAACAACCTAAATTATGGTTTTTGCCCATGACGTAAGTATGTATGTGTATGAAAATATATATAACTCTACTTTTGCACTCTGTTTCATTTCTTACCCACCCCCTCTAAATCCCAAAGAGAAGATGTACTGGTAAAGGGCTCATGCCAACCCCTCCTGACTCTGGGTTCTAGAAGATTCGAAGATTGCATTGGCAGCAGTCTCACGACATCAGACCCCTCCTGGAGCATCTCTGATTACTTCCTCTCCTGGGTCATTTTATAAAATAAAGGCGACTTCTCTAGGGCTTAAATCCATTCCACTCTGGCGAGGGCTTTTTAAAGCCTCAGGGGGAGAGCGCTGAAGGGAGATGGTCTGTCCTGAGGCCGGGGGGGTGGGGGGGTGCCGCAGGAAGGGTCCAAAGCTTCCGGGTGATGCTCTGGCCAGAGGACCCAGCGCTGGTCGCAGTCAGCTCTATTCCGGGAGAGTTGGCCCTCTCTCACCAACCCTTCAGTGGATTTTCTTTCTTGGTCTTATCTCTATACAGTTGAAGTATATTACAAAGGAGACCTATAATGGCTGCGGGGGGGCGACGAATTTTTTTCAGTTTTGGGGCGATGGTTAAGGCTCCTCTTCCGGTGTCACCCATCTGGGTCTCCGTTCTGGATTGGCCGCCCGCGCGGGGTTAGAAGGTACCAGGGCTGGGGGCTAGAGA